ACTAATCTTTTGCCCCTGTATATCTATCCCTACAGTTGTCCTGTCTTTAATGATGTTGATCGCGTCTTCGATGTATAGATTAAAAAGTAGCGGTGACAGTGTGCACCCCTGTCTGACTCCCTTTTTAACATTTACGTCTCTACGTTGCTGCTCCAGCTCTATAACTGCCTGTTGCTCTTTATACAAACTAAGTATCACTCTTCTATCTCTGTAACTCATCCCTACATTTTTGAGTAGGTATATTTAACATCTTGTCCCATTTAACATTGTCAAAAGCTTTTTCTCAATCTACAAATCCTATGTACGCGCTCTTTTAAGTAACTCAAATAAAATGGTTTGTTCTGAAGTCAACTATTCTACCGTTCTATGAATGTTATTGACGCTTTGACTGAAATACTCAAAACTTTTTGGGTGTTAGTACTAATGCTGGTAGGTGCAGGGAATCTCGTCATACCGCTTGATGACCGAAATGCCTTTATAATAATAATAATGAAACATACCTGGCAAGAATCACGACCACCTGCTACAAAACCTGCGCAGAGCATGTTTCGAGTTATGATGCTTCCGTAAATTTCTTGACAAACTTCGTTTTCGACAACAGCTACATTAACACCAACAAGTCTGTTACTTGGTTCACCATCTTCAGCCGTTGAACCCCATCCAGTTATTATACCATTAACACCCTCGGGAACGTAACGGTATGGTGATGGTAATGCAACAGCATTAATTGCAGCTCCATACTTTAAATCAGATTCTAAAGAAATGAGTCCAATATCGAACTCACCGGTGCTCGAACTGTATAATGCATGAACGTAAATGTTACTAGCTGCGCGTACAACTCCGCCGTCGCTTCGCAAAGTCGATCCTGCGCGAACGGAGAATAATGGAACAGATCTCCTGGATACAAGAAACATTATCTATGTCACTTTTGATGGTTCATTACTATGTTATAGTTTACTTAACATTAGCAATACTTTATTTTACAATTATTAATTTATGTATAAGAAACAGATACAAATACAATATATCAGGTAACTTACGTTGCAGTACAACTTGCAGCTGTTAGAATCCACTTTTCGCCTATAATTGATCCACCACAAACTTGTGATGAAGAATATAGCAAACCAACCTGATAAGGATAATCAGTAATATCAACCTGTGAACCTCCTACAATTCTACCAATTGATGCTGCACTGACAGGACTGGAATATCCTACAAAGAATTACTATATAGATAGTATCGAATTTGACGGAGTGAGCTTCTGACTGAACGAAAGCTTGTGAATTTATTATAAACAATATGAAATCCAAAGATGGCAACGATAAGACGTTCTAATCACTAAATTATATATGCATGACACGATCTTATTTGTAGTAAAATAACTAAACTAACTACATCCTTACCCAAAAGGGAAATCACTAAGCATGCAACTGTTATTTTTGGATTCATTTTGTCGAAGGCGGACTCTCGACTGAAATGAATTCAGCCGAGCGTTTTAACTTAAATAGGTTTTTTTTGATACTTCATTTGGAGCGATTAGTCTTATCAAAATTGAAAAAGTAAGTACGTCGTTGTTATAATAAATTGGATCAGCAGGAAAGAATATATTCTTTTCGTGATATTATGTACAGGAGTTTTAAACAGTAGCAGATCCTGTTGGATGTTAATTAAATGTCCTTACCACAGAGGGTTCGAAATCCACTGCATAACTTATACCTAATCGAAACAAACATCAGTTATTACATAATTTATTTTCGAAATTTTTGCTGTCGGTATTTTTTAAGTACCACTTTGATCCAAGAATTTCGATTGTGGCACAAGATTTTCTTATTACGGGAGGCATTTTCATTCCAAGTCGTCCAAGTTTTATTGATTCGATTGAATTACATCACGGATGGTACCTACGAGCTATCTGAACCCTTTACGACTGATTTATATAGTGCTGAGGACATCCTAGCAAAATGACAAACAGTTAAAAGAGTTGTTTGTGACAAACGTACTAGCGTAAAAGAAGTTGAAGCAATAAACGAAATGAAAGTGCATTAAAACAAAAATGAATTCGAGAATACTTTACTTCACTAATACTATCTAACGTTTACCATTCTGTTACACTTGTCTATATTACAAGTGAGTTGAATGAGCTGTTACAATATTTTTGGGATAAGTTCATACAAACTGTCATGACGTAAACGCAATTGAATATAAAGCAAGAAGCACTTTTCAAAACGTTGTTTAAAATGTTGGTGAACATTCAGATATTTTCAAATTACTTGCGTGATTCTTAATCATCTTAGTAGCCTTCAACAATATTGATTTGGTGCTAAAGAGTATATTACATAACATTATCTTATCCAATATGATCAGTCTGAGCTTTATTTTTTCAGTTTTGTACTTGATTTTGAGTTAAGAGTGATTTATTGTAACAAGTTATTATTTATAAGCACTTTCTGTACTGCTAAGAAAAAATGTCACTTCTTTTTCTGGTTTGAATGAAACTTAGTCATGAAGTAGTATTATATTAATGGAAATTTATTATGTAAAAATTATTTTTAAATATTTAAATGTGAGGAATTTTGTTAGGATCTTCAAGTATGATGATTAAGTTTTATGTGTTGATTCTCTAGCTTCTATTCAGATTTGACGGTTCATACGTATTTTCCCATTATATTTAATCCATTTTCTTTTGCTTGCCGTCCGATCTAATATTCAATTTCGGTGGAGGCGATTTCCGTTCAAATGTAGGTATTAGACGACTGGTATTTTCCTCTCATTAAACTCCCCTATGTCACTTGAAGTGTGACAAAAAAGAAATAAATCACCATTGCCTAAATTATTTTTGTTACGTTGTCAAAAAATAAAGACGTATTTCTTAGCACATGTGCTTGTTGCATGTTTTATTCACCAGGGTCTCCACCAGAAAGAAGGGTGCAATAATGGATGGGGTGACATGTCGCAGAGGAGATATGATCAAATTCGGATAATCTCATTCATGCTGAATGACTGTGAGGGTCAAAGCAACATGACTACTGCTATTATTTGAAATGGCTATTTAAAATCAACATCTGGCATATTTAAACCTATTTGAAATCAATTTAAAGAATAAAGAAAATTATTTTCTGCACCATCTAACATTAAGTTTCAGATGCATTTGCATTTGGTCTTACTTATTCATAAACGGAGTTCTTATTTCATTAAATAAATAACAAAATTAAAAATAACAGCACACATTAATTGTTATTGCTAAAACACAAGTGTATGATTATTATGTACAGGAAGTAATTCACTAATGGAATGACTAACAGCTGGCAACTAATATAATTTTTTACGGGTTTATCAAGTTAAATATTATCATTAATCTATTTAAATCCAGTTTTGCCATTGTGCACTTGTCACTAACAAGATCAATCATCACCGTTAGTAAGTATTGATTGGCATTTTTAAAGATTAGTGAAATCGCTCCGTATATGGCTCTAAAAAAATAATAGTCTATAAAAATGTATCTTGAATGATTGACAGGAAGATTGTCATGTAAAAAATGTGACCCTTATTTAATAACGTATCTTCAAGTGTAAATCAACAGTCAAGGAACGTACAGGACGACCAGGACATATCGCCATGATAAAACTACACTGGATTCTAAAAATGCTTTATACAATACTTTTGCAAACACTGTTAAAACTGATAATGTGTTAAACAATAGAACTGCAACTCATTGCACTTAAAGAATTACACAAAAAATTAAATTTTCTTCGCAAAATGTTTTACTTTTATAACTACTTGTGTTAACCAAGCTCAATTATTTAAAAAAACTTATCGTCAATTCCATTGATTAGTTATCAAATACCTAGAATATTTACACAGATTATTAGCTTGCTGAGTTTTATTTTAAATGTATAGCTCTCTTTATCACCAGTTTGGCATTTCAGTACTCCCTCTCCATGTTTATTTAATGTTCCGGATTTGCTGTTTGAACAACGAACTTTGCAGACGTTGGCTTTCGACTGACCTGTCATGTAATCAAAGGTTGAGTTAGATAAAACCGGTAAAAGCTACGATTAAAACTCATTTACAGTTTATATGTATATATTTCGTGTACATCTATCAACTATCATCTAATAATAAAAAATATACATATAATTGAAGAACCATTTGTAACCTTTCTTGTATATAATGAAAAAGATTCACGTCATTGAGTGAGCAATTGTTGTGAATCAGATAAAATTGCTCTTTTAATAATTCTAAATAACCACAATGTCTTAATATAGTTCACATTTCCAGAGGAAAATGGAAAATACTATCTATTCCTTGTCATACACTTGCATACTGTAATGTTCGTGGGTTTAACAAAATTAACTTCTAAGAATGATAACGACAAAAACTATTTATTTACACTATTGTTGACATATCACTATTCACTGCGCTATTTATTTCACTTAAATACTCTTTATTTACTTTCGGGACCCTTCTGGAAACATCCGGATGGTTTATTTGCTTTCCCATATACATTTACAAATACGGCGCATATGAAGAAAGGCGCCTGCGGCTGGTCGGCGAATCGATAAGCCGTTCAGGCACACGTGTGCCCGATCGCACACAAACACACTCGTGCTCGCTACAATACATATTGTACATAAAATATAAGAGAGTCTTAAAAAGGTTTATTGTGGGATTTTTATCAGTTTTTAAACGTAATCTTTATTTTTATGTGCCATAAAGAAATTAGTGTTCTTGATTCGGCTCATTAATAGTCTTTGATGGCTCTACTGATTCGGCTCATTAAAGGTCCTATCCGGTCCGCTTTGAATCCCATCGCATTGCTTCTCCCTCAGAACAAAAACCCCAGAGGGTCGTCTACTTCTAATTTCGTAACTTATTGTTACAGGACTCCCTGCTCTGTTAATTTTTTTATTGGTCTTTTGATCTCAGAACATCGATTTTGCGAGACATTCTATTTCCTGCCCTAAGTGTAATCTATTACAACGGAATAGAACAAGAGATATATATACACATATTGCAATTTACAGCGAATTTTTTATCTATTGGGAGAAAGGCTTGTTTAAATTATTTCATTTATAAATAAATGTTATGAATGATTACAACGAGTGGCAGCAAAGGGGTAACATTTTTCTTTATTTCTGACACACGTGAGATTGATCGTTACCTAATTAATTTAATGATTCTTAAATACACAGTGGACCGATAAACCAAAAGTAATATTAAACGCATAGTTGCGATCATTTTTTTTTTTGATATATTACGCATGTCTCTCCGCTACTTTTGGAAAAGTAGTAATTAATTGAAAAAGTTTTTCGAGTTACCAGTTATTTTCCACGTATCAATTGAAATAAAACCAATTTCCTTCTTTTTTTTTTTGATAGGAAAGAGTGGAGGTACGTGTCCAACCTGTCCTAGGACTGACGATCTTATGATTATGATGATGATAAACATAAAAGTAAAAATGATGTTTTATTTTACTTTCAACTTTGATAATTTACTGATTCGATTAGCGAAATTAATGCAAACTATCCGTCTATTGGATTGGAAATCTAACAATGTCGTTTGTTGTGAGATTTATTTTACAGGCTAATGTTTAACGAACGCAAAGTAAAAATATGGCTCGATTAATTTTGACGGAAGTCAGCAAATGGAGAGAGAGAGAGGAGTGGTATAGTACACATGTACCAATAGCTAATTAAAACTGCCGTGCAATAGTGTATTTGTAATGAAAATACAATGCACGTGTCTAGTTAGTATATCGGATCATTTATTATCTTCGATCGCTATTTTTCATATTAACTGATATAAACCAATGATAATATTTCAACGTACTTATTCGTTATTTTCGACTTATTAGACTTATTTTTCAATTACCTATTGATAATGGATTAAAAATTATTGTAAGCATATGTTCTATTATGGTAGAATTTATTCAAGGTATTACTGACCCTCAACTAGCTAAATGAAAGTCTACCCTTACAGAAATCGGTAAGTGAATACCTTAGAATGATTGATGCCAAAAATGTTGACGTAAAAATTAGTCCTTGCAATAAAGTATGAAATAACAGAAACACCTTTATCAACTATTTAATACAGAAAACATGTAAATAACAATTTTGTTAATAAAGCTATTATCTATCTATCTACAAAAGTCCAAACGAAAAGCAACATTCCTATAGAATGTAATCTTGAAAATGTAAATTTTATTTCGTACTTCAAAAGAAAAATATTTCCGCTAAATTGGAATGTCGCTTAAATAAAGTAAGGCTTTCATTACATCAGCTTTAGAATTTCATTGAGTTCTTGCCCCTCCTGTGAAAAGAATTCAATTCGAAATATTGCAAGAGGAGATGAAGAATAAAGTAAAAAATATAGTATATTCGTGCTGCGTCTCCCTAAGGTCTTGACTTATATTTATCACATTCGAAGTACGGCAGTTGACTGTTCAGTTTGTACTTCTTTGACCTGTGTGCGTGCATTTTTTTTTTCGGTTGCAAATTTTGGGATTTTAGTTTAGAAATTCTACTAAAATTTTCTATATTGTTTCTGCTGAACTAGGAAACTGATTAGTTATTAATTTTCATTGATCGATTACCTTACCAGTACATTTTTCATTTTTTTTTTGTATGAATATAGTTGCAGTTTCTAAAATTTATTAATCAACTATGATCTGTTTGCGACCTATTAGATTGTACTTGCGTTTTTACGGTAATCGTTTTTAGATGAGGTGTGAAGTTCAAGTGAAATTTGCTTCCCCAGTTCCGTAATTTATTTTTAGTTAGTTGTCTATTAAATACTATCAGAAACACCTGTTATTTGGTCATAAATTACACTTAATTACCTGCCACATGCAGCGCTGAGATTCTCAAATGTTTCCTTATAACGTTGGTGTAATACGTATCTGTTAATTTATAGTGGTGGTAGTGTTAATTAATGTCTTATGCAAATAGATTTTTTTTTGTGGTGGTACCTAAAAGTACCCCCTCACATTGAATTTGCCATCAAATATGTGCACACGTAATACGTTGGAAAAATAAACCAATATTATAAAAGAAATTGGTTCCACTATTCTATCATCACAATTTGAATAATGATCAACTTTTTTCTACTGTTTAGTGATTAAGAACAGTCGGTATATTGATTACATGATAAATTATTCACTGCTTGAAAAATTGGTTACACGTACACCTTAATTAACCGCACTTAAAATGATTGGTTTGTACGCACAATGTCGACTATGTAAACGTACACTATCGATAATTTTACAATATTTAAGAAACATATAGAATTCAAATTACTATAAAATGCCATAAATATTTGTTCTTATAAGAAGTTGTTTCCCCAGAACCTTAACAAGTTGGAGATTGGCACTAGAACGTGTTTGTACGTTAATGCTTGGGGGGTGCTTCTTGGCTATTAAATTCTGAACTATCGTCCTTTGGTTGAAATATTTTATTAGTTTCTTCGGTAATGGATGTATCTACCTCTCCCACAATATCTTCGTCAGTATTTTCGTGCATGACTCTCATTTTGAGTATCGAAGAGCACGCTTCCCGCAGCTAATACTTGAGATTCTGCACCCTTTTCTACGTTTACAGGATATGATTTTAAAAAGTGTTTATGGACAGCGGCAAATATGGTGGAAGTTACGGGAATCCGATCGTAACGAAGACAACATGATCAGGAAGCTTCCAACCGCCAGCCTTCAATGTGGAAAGATAAATTACAAACACTTTTGTTAACTAGATCTCCAGAGGGGTAAAACGCACCATGTAGTGCAGAGTAGATACAGAAATTGAGTAAGAAAGTCATTAAATTGAACGCAACCGCATCTAGCAGTCACAACTCGCGAACATAACTCAGCAAGCTTCATTCCAGAGAAAATATGTATTGGGCCTTTCTTATAGGAAATTTCTTCTTGACAATAGTTTTTAACGTACCTGCAGCGTCTAAATCTATATATATATAAAAGAAAGTCGTGTTAGTTACTTCACTTACATATAACTCAAGAACGGCTGAACCGATTTGGCTGAAAATTGATGGGGAGGTATCTTACAACCGGGAGAAGGACATAGGATACTTTTTATCACTTTCCACGAGAAAAATGTGGTATATGTAAACGCAATTGACATGGAATGACAAAACGAAATTGACAGCAAAACAAAAAATTTATCAGTCAAAACATCAGTCTAGCCTTTCATTTGTTAAGATTGCATGTTTGTTTTTGGTTCGATTTACTTGAAATTGATTAAAAAATTCAATCTCTGTTGGGGGGGATGAGTGGTGAAGAGGAGTTGCAATGTTTAAATGAAACATATTATTTGTGATCAGATTTACTTGAAACTTTGTTTTAATGATCTCTCATTTAATTTCTGAAACATCTATCTCGACAATTTAAAAAAGGGAAAGGTGTTGCAATTTTTGTTTGGGACATACTTTATTTATGGTTGAATTTACTTGAAACTTGGTATATATGCCACTTGATATTATTAATCAAATGAAAAGAGGTTGCAACGTTTCCATGGGCTACATTTTGTTTGTACTCGGATTTACTCGAAGGATGCTCATTGCTGAAATTAAGCAAATACGTGTTTTGGCAATTTTTAAAAATCAACCCTTAAGGATGAAATGTTGTTGCTACGTTTGTATTTGAAAGATGGCGACATTACACAAAATTAAAACGTTGTAAGGGTGAATTGGGAGCTAAAAGGTTTTATGGTGAAAGAATATTAATTTCTGGGAGCGAAGCCGCGGGGAAAAGCTAGTAAAATATATTCGAAATTTGACGTCTTCTGCACAATATAGCACCAAACGCAGACCTCATCGGAAGGAGAAAAGTCAGAATTTTCATTTTGAGGTAAAAACGAAACGATCAAAACAATTTCCACATTTCTCGGTGAAATTTCCGGATCCGTCTCCCTAAAGACTGGACTAAACAAAGAGTTCCAAAATGCTTTCTTTCCAATGTGTATAATAAGGTTACAGGTGGTAACAAAAAGCAAACAATTTTTTTCCGCATGAAATCTTCATGTTTTACCATCGGAATGCTAATGTCCTCGAGACACGAGACACAGCAGGGGCACGTAGGTGCGCTGGTTGTTTGAACAAATGCCTGTGTTTAACTTTTTTGATATCGAACATAAATCTAGTTATTATTTAGCCGCTGAGGCTCGTTTAAATATAAAACTGCATATTTTATACAGAAACCATGTTATTGTAATCGTCACGCGAGCCACAAATGAAATTGCACCTTCCCAGCTGGCTAGGTATGTGGTGCATGTTGACCTATTTTTTTTGGATAGCTATTACGTATCTATGCGCCGTTTGTAATTGTCACGATTGCGACCTGTGCTCCGTAAGTACCTCCAGCAGTAATTTTCATTAAATGGAATTTCAAAATGAATCGTTAAAAATTAATTTTATGTGCTTACCGTATAATACAAACTTGTGTAGCAGTCCAATTTTCTGTAAAATCTTTCTAGTAAGGTGATAGTTATTTTATCGTTACCGATTACTGGCACGAAAGGGGGTGTAGATACAGTAGTATCGATTATATTATGAAGCAATTTCATACCACAATATAATCTGATAGAAACGACGAGGCATATCTATTCTTTTACTTATTCAGCGGCATCATTATGTCGAAATTGTCAGACGTATATGTGTCATCTATTTATTCTGGAAAAGTTGGTCCGCCCTTTACATGGCCATTATGGATAATTTCTAAAAAATCTCACAAATCGCGTCGTACTCCAGTATATTTTTATTTAGAAAAACCTAAAGAATTCATAATTTTTGTTATGTTGTTGTCAAACTAAAGAATGAAAATAATAGACTTCTTTTAACTTATTTAGTGATATATATTTACAATTGTTAACCAATGAATTTTTTAGCGATCTATCAGTTTATATTTAAATAATTAGTGACAAATATTTTATCGTTATTGATTAATCTTGTTTCTTTCAGTTTTCTCCGTCAAACATTTGAAGTTACAAGAAAAATCCTGATACGCGTACACTCGAACGGTAAGATTTTCTTTGATAACTGCAATAAAATGTAATTATTCTTTATTAGTTTTCGATTGTATGTTAATAATTCCTAAAGCCTAAAAAATTATAAATCAACGTTATCAACAAATCAGTATCAGCACCTCTTTCTGTGAGAACATCTTCATCACGGATCGCAATTTTGACCTCACTAACGCACCATTACTGACTAAATCAAATAAGCTCCTAAAGAGCGAGCTGATGTAATATCCAAATAGAGGCAGTGTAACACCACCTAGTGAGTATTTGCTGCTATTAAAGTATTTCAAACGTTAGGCAAGTTGAAATACTTCGGTAGGATTTTGTCTAACATATCAAATACTTCACTAACAGCACGTACCCACCAGCTGACAACATACTGCCTCTATTTGGATATTAAATCAACTTGGTCTGTTAGAGTTTCTTCTGTTTGGTCAGTCATTATATCGAGCGGCATAGTCTAGACCTCTGGACCATTGCTTAGCGTTTGGAAGGACATCTTGCCTTGGTCCAAGTTTTTGTTTGGTTTACTTGGATCCCTTAGGCAAATACTAGGGCAGTAATATTCCGCAGATAGTCTTTCATTCTCTTCTGTCTTCATGTCTCACCCAAACCACCACTCACCCATTCCCACGATTCCTGAAAGGAGGCCTACATTCCGGCGCAGTCCGGAGGGACTGCCCGCCCACTAGCGTTAGTCACCCAAAGGTCTTCTTTTTAGTCATTAATATGATCGAAATTATGATCCACGTCTGCTGGTTTTGAAAAATATTTGGCCAAGAACGTAAAAGTTCTCATTCATGTCACTTTAATTATTATTAGGATAATAATTACATCAAAATTAAACCGGATCATTAGTTGCAATATATTTTATTTGTTTTTACATCAATTTATAATAAGTGTGCATTTACACTCCACTTTGCGAGTTGATCCACGTTCTAAAAGCCGAAACGCGAGTATAAACACCGTAGAATCCACGACGGGCGCATCCATTCCCCCAAGAAACAATACCAATTTGACCGTAACCACTTGCTACCAATGGGCCACCAGAATCACCCTGCACATTAAAATATAATATTTAGGGGAAATAAAACGTAACAGGAATAAACAAATAATATTTTTTGCGAGTAATGATTTACGTTTGAATATGCATTCATATACTCTTTATCACAATAAAAAAAAATCGTAATTCAGTGCAAGCAGCACTTAAAGAACTTTATGCTTTTTGTATCAAAACTTTTGAGGTGAAATTCAACTACAACAACTCAAATAAGGCCATATCCTGTTTATCACATGAAGTTTTTCCTAAAACGATCTGTTAATAATGAAACGTATACCTGACAAGAGTCCCTGCCTCCTTCAGGAGAACCTGCGCAGATCATATTTGAGGTTACTCTGTTTCCATAGCTTTCCCGACAAACTTCGTTGTCGACAAGTGGTACTCTAACGGCTCGAAGTCGAGAACTTGGCGAGCCATCTTCTGTAGTATCTCCCCATCCAGTTGTTGTGGCCTCAGTACCAGAACGAATATAAATGTTCGGTGTTGGTAATGAAACTGCTCTAATTGTGTTTCCATACGTTAATTCAGATTGTAACCAAATGAGTCCGATGTCATAATCGGCGGTACTCGAACTGTAGCGTGAATGTACCCTGACGGACATAGCTGATCTTCTGACGCCACCGGAATTTAGAAAATTTGATCCTGCACGGATGGAGTACAGGTAGTAGGTACCACTAAAAAGAAACTTTTTTGTTATACGTAGAAGTAGCTTACATGCTTCTAAAGTATACCAATAATTTACTTTTATCTAATATCTCTCAAAAAAGACAATGCGAACGTTCTTGTATTGTTTTTCAATAGTCTCCACTTTTTAACTATCAGAATAAAGTCATCATTCATCCATCTATCTCAGTTAGACCCCATCAGACGCTCTCATCGACAATTACCCTTTTAATTCATCATTCGCATTGCATAAAAGACATGGAAAGATTAACTTACGATGAAATACAATGCGCAGCTGTTAGAATCCACCGTCTGTTTAAAATTGATCCACCACAAAGTGGAGACGAAGAATATTCCACACTAACTTGATAAGGATAATCGGTAATATCAACCTCTGTTCCTCCTACAATCCTGTCAAATTGAGGAATCGATACTGCAGCGGAAGGTATTGATGCTGCATTGATGGAATTGATATATCCTACAAAAGATTATTCTGTGAAAAAAGCTTGGAGCTTTTAACTCGACGAAAACTCATAAACTCAAAATCTCAAAGATGTTAACAATTAGTAGAAACAAAGTTTCACATATTCAATTTGTAGTAATAAAATAACTAAATGTAGTGTGTTCTTACCCAAAAGGGAATATACGAAGCATGCAACAATCATTGTTGGATTCATTTTCCTGAAGGCGAATTCACGACTGAAATGAATTCAAACAAGATCCTTTCATTTAAATAGGTTTCACTGAGATGCAATTTAGAGATTAGCTACTTCTATCGATCAAAAGCTAAGTACCTCGTTGCAGATATTGATCATTAATGATAAGGACCCTTCTAGTATTGACTTCCTCCATCAGCCATTTTTACAATAACCATTAGAATTAATTGAACCCTTAAGATAACTAATTTGTTTCTAATACTGCATGTCTTGTTTTATCGGTTCAAGTGCAGTTTCCGGTGCTACTATCAATAACAAATAATTTTTGAAATTGAATTGCATCCTGTAAGTATTTCCCTTTAATAAATAATGTAATCACCGTCGATATGTAAAGTCATGTTTTCCAGTTAATTTTAATAACTACATCCTTATCTAAATAGGAAAACGCTGAGCATACCTATAATAATTTTTGGAGTCATTTTTAAGAAGGCGGACTCAGGCAATTTTTTTAAGTTAAAAAAGACAGAAAAATTTCAAAAATAAAATTTACAGTTTTAAAATATTCATATTATTACAAACATTTATTTATTAACCTTAGAAACTGCTTTAGAAGATTGATCTTCTTATTAGTAATATCTAAAAAATCATTTATAATAAATTGGATCCTTAAAATCATTACTTTGTTGTATTTAATTAAATTTTGATAACAAAATTATTCTAGTGTGTATTGTTTCATCAATCCCTTATCGTTGTTAAACGGGTGTATACCTTTGCTAAGAATAATGAATCGCTGATATATTTTCTCGTTAAAGATGTCTTTTATTTATTGTCTAAAATTCGTTATATTTAACTCACATTGAAGTTCAGGGAGTTAATTTGATTTTATTTTAGGTGAAACAATTTTGTTTTTATTGTTTTCGTGAAACATAAAATATGTTTAAAAGATATTCAGTACGTAGGAAGTGTCAAAAAACCGAATTCGTGGGTAATTTACAAATTCAATTTTATTTTGGGAAGAAAATAATTAGTCTAAGATTGTTTTATACGTGATTTTATTCTGAATAAAAGAATTAAATTACACGTTCTTTCTCAACCAAACAAGAGTTCTTGACACAAATAAAACATTAAAAAATAACATAAACACAGTCAACTTGACCAAATCAAAATGAAGTTAAATCTATGATTATTTATATTAAGCTTAACAACTATCCCCAAGGTAGCAGTACTAACCAGAGGTTACA